TGGGATGTTGTCAGCGCAAACAACCATAGACGTAGTGAAATGCAATCAGACTCGACTTCAGACCTGCTTGCAACATGCATACACACAGACTGATGACAACACCAAACTCGACAACTCAGAATCAAGAACGAACTTCCACTTAAACTTTGAACACAGGCCCAGAGATGTTGTCAACACAAACAACCATAGACGTAATGAAATGCAATCAAACTTGACTTCAGACTTGCTTGCAACATGCATACACACAAACTGATGACAACACCCTCATCAACTTAGAATCAACAACAAACTTTGACCGAAACTCTGAACACAGACCCTGGGATGCTGTTAATGCAAACAAACATAGACGTGGTGAAATGCAATTAGACTCGACTTTAGACTTGCTTGCAACGTGCATACACACAAACTAATGGAAACACCAAACTCGTCAACTCAGAATCAACAACGAACTTGCACTGAAACTCTAAACACAGACCCTGGGATGTTGTTATCGCAAACAACCATAGACGTAGTGAAATGCAATCAGACTCGACACCAGACTTGGTTGCAACATGCATACACACAGACTGATGGCAAAACCAAACTCGTCAACTCAAATCAACAACTAACTTGCACTTAAACTATGAACACAGGCCCTAGGATGTGTCTGGGCAAACAACCATAGACATAGTGAAATGCAATCAGACTCGACTTCAGACTTGCTTGTATCATGCATACAATCAGAATGGTGGCAACACCAAACTCGTCAGCTCAAAATCAACAACGAACTTGCACTGAAACTATAAACACAAGTCCTGGGATATTGTCAATGCAAACAACCATAAACGTAGTGAAATGCAATCAGACTTGACTTCAGACTTGCTTGCAATTTGCATACACACAGACTGATGGCAACATCAAACTCGTCAACTCAGAATCAACAACGAACTTGCGCTGAAACTCTGAACACAGACCCTGAGATGTTTTCAGCGCAAACAACCGTAGACGTAGTGAAATGCAATTTGACTCGACTTCAGACTTGCGTGCAAGATGCATACACACAGAGTAATGGCAACATCAAACTCGTCAACTCAGAATCAATAACGAACTTGCATTGAAACTCTGAACACAGGTCCTGGGATGTTGTCAGCGCAAACAATCATAAACGTAGTGAAATGCAATCAGGCTCGACTTCAGAGTTGCTTGCAACATGCATACACACTAACTGATGGCAACACCAAACTCGTCAACTCAAAATCAACAACGAACTTGCACTTAAACTATGAACACAAGCCCTGGGATGTTGTCTGGGCAAACAACCATAGACCTAGTGAAATGCAATCCGACTCGACTTCGGACTTGCTTGCAATATGCATACACACACACTGATGGCAACATCAAACTCGTTAACTCAGAATCAACAATAGCTTGCAGTGAAACTTTGAACACAGGCCCTGGGATGTTGTCAACGCAAACAACCATAGACGTACTGAAATGCAATCAGACTCGACTTCAGACTTGCTTGGAACATGCATACACACAGACTGATGGCAACACCAAACTCGTCAACTCAGAATCAACAAGGAACGTGCACTGAAACTTTGAACATAGGCCCTGGGATATTCTCA